GTGTAATTCAGTGTCTTCCTCTCCCTTTTTCATCAGGGGCAGAGATAGTGAAAGTGACAGAACAGGAAAATTATTTTCCCCAACAGCAGTGATCCAGTCTCTTTTTAAACTCCGATATTTAAGATGCCATACAGCAGTACCTATAAATATGCTTTGAAATGTTGAATGAGCACAAGAGTATATTTGATTTTGTTTTTATGCCTATAATTTCTCTCACCAAGAATTCAGCTGTTACTCAGCTCCCAGCAGGTTGTTCTGATTGCTGGAGAGATGGTTTGGATTGATTCCGGCTGTGACCTGTTCCAGTCCAGCCTCATTCCTGTGTAGCTAGATTGAAACAATAGAAATCAGCAAGAGACTGAATTGTTGTTCCTGTGTAACTGAACTTTCTTGTGCAACTCCAGGCTAAATGTAGAAGGAGTTGATGACCCACAACTTTGAAGTCAGTAAAGGCTGTAGATAGTGAGAGGCACTGAACAGATGTTAGGAACAGAACAGCAGGAGAAAGAGAAATGCTACAAGACAAAAAAAAATAAACAACCCAACAAAACAACAAACATTACATCAGAAACGACAGTGGTTGTTTCATAATGTAAGAAAATCCACTGCTGTACATGAGAAAAGACACAGAATATTCACCCTGGTAACCAGGAACATTGGCCACCAGGACAAGAACAGCCCTATATCCTACAAACCTCCTCTCACTTTTAATTTCCTTTTGCTCCTTCTCCTGCTAATACAGAACAAATTCTGACTTATAGCCTTCCTGGAAACCGAAATTAAGAGGCAGATTTGGGAGAGGATGACAGAGAGCAGATTCTGCTGGAGGATACAACAGCTTTATAGCCCAGCACCTTTCAGTAGCAAGTGCCTGGTGTGCTCTGTCTTTTATTTATTTTTGTTTGTTTGTTTGTTTTTTATTACAACCCCTAATTGATGCAAGTAGTTTTGACAAAGAGCCTAAAACTGTTCAGTCCCCAATCTGTGGGTAGAACGGAGATGTCAGCGGACGGACAGGATCAGCACCGCGGACAGCGGCACCGCCCGCGCAGGACCCGGCCCGGCGCTCCCGCCGCTGCTGGAGGAGGAACCGCCTTTGATAAAGGAACCCCACTCTTGAAGGAATTGTGCCCACACTGCCCAGGGAACTGCTGGATCACCCTTCGTTCGTTTCTCCCATGTTTTTTCCTAGTGTGAAATCGTTATCTTATTTTCAAGTGATGAAGGAGGGAAGGTTTTGAACGCAAACCAATAATTCCGGGGCAAGAGAGAGCCATTTTTTCCTTCAGAGTTAAACTCTCTGCCCCACGTTTTCCTGCACTGGTGATCCACCTATGAAGGCTCCATTTCTAATTTGGATTGTGAAAGGTTCTTATCTTCTCATCCATTGAGACAGTTTGACAAATGGAGAGATATTACACTGGTAGCCCTTTAGAAACAGAATCCTTATTTTATTGGAAACATCATGTGATTCAGATTTCAGCCATCAATTATGTTTACTGTTGGTAAAGGGTAAACAGACAAATCTTTTGGAAAATTGCAAGTAAGGGACATATAAATGACACTGTGGCCACTGAAAGTTATTTCCCCCCCCAAAAAAATTAAAAAAAATGAAGCCATGTTATTGCATAGTGTAGGGTTGTCAGAATCATAGAATCAGAAGCCATGTTATTGCATAGTGTAGGGTTGTCAGAATCATAGAATCACAGAATCATAGAATCATAGAATCATAGAATGGTTTGGGTTGGAAGAGACCTTAAAAATTACCCAGTTTTAGCTCCCCTACCATGGGCAGGGACATTTTCCATCTGACCAGGTTGCACAGAGCCCTGCCCATCCCAGCCTTGAAGAGTCAGACAAAGATGAAGAGCCGTGCAGGCACCAACAGGCAGGGCCCCAAATGGAGAAGCAGTCTTACCTCACAGAGGGAAGAAGACAAGTGTCTCAGCATTCATCCAGAAAAGCAGGCCAGAAAGATGGGCTATTCTCCCCACTCAACATATGCTGCTTTCTAGAAGCAGTTTCCTCTGTGTGCCACTTCCCACACACTCCCCAGCTGTGACTGGAAGTTACTACAATGGGACATGTGGATGGACACTCGGAGACAGAGAGGTCTGGGAAGTGCCTGAGACACAAGACTTCAAAACTTGTAAGTAGCAATACTGAAAATGAGGGATTAAGGTCAGACTGCTGATGCTCAGGGATGTCTGGAAGTCAGACAGGATGGGCTTGCAGGAGATGGCAAAGATAATTTAATGAGGGGCTTAGAGAACAAATGATGCTAAGAGGAGGGATCAAAGAAGCCTACTGGGACACAGGGAGAGGAAGGAAATGGACAAGGACTTGATTCAGTGGAGGGTCAGTGATCAAGAGAGTGAAAGTCAGATAGGAACTGTGGTGAAGCAGAAGATGGCCCTGATGGGGAAGAACTCTGGATGTGAGGAAAGAGTCCCTACAGAATGGTGTGTGCTCACCCAAATGAGTCCTGAAGGTGTCTCCAAACCTTCAGTTCTGCTGGGCTTCCTCCAGGCCCACGTCTCCTTCAAACCCAACAAACACCATAACTTTAACTCCCTTTATTTTTCTCTATGACAGCTCTGATTTCAGTACTAACAATCTAAATTGTTTTAGTTCCCCTCAATCCTCCCGTTCAACCCCCACAACCAGCTAATTCCTTGTGTAAAGGAGAATTGGCTTTTTTTTAAAGCTTTCTATTATTTTTTTTCCCAGAAGTATCCATTAAATTTTCAGCTAAACTGGAAGGCAATTTTTTGCATGAGAGCTTTACATAGATAGGCTTAAAGCAGAACAAAAATAAATAAATAACGATTCTAAATTACCTCCCCCTCCCCCACTGTGTCTTAATGAAGTGCTGTTTTACATAAGTTATTTCAAGAGAAGTGAAGTAATTTTGAGCAGGCAAGCGATCAACATTTATTTGGGTTTCCAAGAGTGTTGCAGCTCCCTCTGAATCTTCTGGGTCAGGCAAGGAGGCAAAGTTTCCCCAGGTAAGGATTGAGGATACACAGCCTTCTTGGGTGAAGGCTGTCTTGGGTCTTCAGGCTGTGTTTGGGAATGTTTTTAGGGGCTGCACTGTGCACTTGCCTCTGGTAATTTCTCCAGGGTTTGTATGTTGAAGCAGTGCTGTTTATCAGTGGTTTGTGTGGCAGCATGATGGCCTAGGCAGGAAAACCACTCTGATTTCCTATGCTGGCCTCAAGAAAACCCCATGCACCTTCCAGAAATCTGCAAGTGTAGACTTAATTTCCAGGAAACTCCTCCTCCTCCCACCTGAACTGGCCTTCAGCAGTGCAGGCAGGCTTGGCCCCCAGAAAGTGCTGCTCCACAGCTCAGTCTGGCAGAGGAACTGTACTGACAGGAGGATGGGTCTACAGCTCAGAGGAAAGATATTTTGATGGCATTTGTGTTGTTACTATTATTTAAAACAGCTTATTTTAATCTCTGCTAATGTCACAGAGAGTCTGCACGAGCAGAAAACAAATCCTCTGATGATCTATGCTGAATTAACTTCTTTTTTTTTGGCAGACTTTTTTTACACTATGCACCAATCCACAGTTTCTTAGTCTGGGGCTTCTTTTGCATCTTTTGAATCCTATTTGCCATTTTGCAAGTGAATTGATGGTTCTCAACCTTCTCCAAACCACAGTCTCCTCTTTTACAAACCAAAATTCACCATTTTTTCCTGCTGGGAACAAGCCAGGTTACCCCTTAAGGGAGAATCTGGTGAGACCAAGGAGGTTGTGATCTCTGCCTGCCCACCCCACCTCCACTGGCTCCAACTCAGAGGATGAGGAACTCAGATCAGAGTTTTGGCCAAGGTAGGGTCCCTGCTTGTCCCCTACCTGCCACATCATGTGCATCGAGTGCGCTGCTACCCTGGAAGGGTATGACTGATACAGCGTTTGTCACACTTACATGAAGAGTTTTTCAATTAAGAATTTGCAGTGAGGTCCAGGGACCTGTTAAAGTGCTGAGGTATTTACCCTCCCCAGACCTTCCCTTCCTTCCTGCCCTGCTTCGACCCTTCCTTTCTCCCCAGCCTTGAAATGAAACAGAAAATTATTTTTTTAAAACTGTGTCGATAATTTATGTTTAGTATAAAGGATGATTTAATGGCATCACCAAAGGTCATTTTTTTCATCTCCGTGTTACTATCCCAGCCCCAGAGGCTGTGCATCCCCTTTTTCCCATAACTCCACTGCCCTCCCTTTCATTCACCTCACACATCTCCTGTCACCACCCCACCCCAGCGTTCCACGCACCCGACACCTGCTTCAGGTTCAGCCCATGGCCGATGGAGATCAGAGATTTCAAACAGAAACCTCCACTCCAGACCACCTCAAACTGGAACCATTTCCACCTTGAAAACAGTCAGTTGCTGCAAATGACAGGCAGACTCATTTCTTGAATTAAGGTTTTTTTTAAAGCCTTTTATACCTATTTACATGTGCGCGTGCGTGCACCGAGTGTGCACTGTGGTACCTGTGTGCACAGATGCACACGAATCTCTCTCTCAAGTATAAATATATTGTATGTTAGAGCTGTAAATACTCCTTGGTCATGTGTCTATGTCTTCTTCAAAGTATCATATCCTCAGTGTTATGTTAACAACTCCATTTATTGATTGATGAAACTATGTGTAGACCTGTACCCTCCTGACATAGTTTATGTAGCTCTCTCTTCTCAAATAAAGTACAAAACTACCACCAGCAGGTCCTTCTCTCCTCTTTGTTCAGTGTTGAGCGTTCAGCTTTAATTCATAGAAACCTGGCATTTAAAATTTAGGCAGTTTTCAGCCATGCCAACAGTACAGAAACCTTCACGTGATGTTTTAGGAATTTTATGTTGCTGGTCAGGCCAGTAAGAGTTGTTAACAAAAGGCAATAACCTGTAGGTTAAATGCTGTCCCAGCTGCAGTAAATGCTGATCTCTGTACTCATCTGATTCATCCTTGCCACTTACCTCCAGGTGCAGCCTACACCAATCACAGCTCCCTCCATCCTGGTAGAGACAACAGGAGTCCATCCTCCTCCTCCCCTTTTGGTGGATCTCTGCACCATTACATCAACCGGTCCTCCCAGAGTACAGAAATTTCCCCTTGGCTTAAGAGGATCCAGTCTCTTCCCTCTCATGTTGTTGGCTTGTTGCTGCTTGGATTGCCCAGCACCAAAACTCAACTCCAGTCTTGGGGCTGGGAACTAATCTCAGGATTATGGCAAAATCCCCTGCTGCCACTTGCTTCCCCTTGATTCCAGGCTTCACGCTGAAATCACAGGAACCAGAGGATATTTACCATTGCAAGCTGAAAATAAAACCCTCTTTGCACAGATACACTTACTGTAAAAAACTATAAAGATGATTTGTGAAGTAACACTTAATTTACTGCAACTGACACCAGACTCCAGCTGCCAGAAATTTGACTGACAATTTCTATTTATTTATATCCTGCTATACAATATCTGCCTTAATGCTGTAAATTTTTCTGATTGGAATTTCACAGTGTCTGCCTGGATATTTATTGATCATAAAATAATCTGCACAACCCGTTAAAGTCAAGGCAGGGAGAATGGATGCCAGAGAAATCACTCGACAGGATCTGGGTACCAGTGCCCAGGTAACAGGAGATGCTCAGATGCTATTTTTACAGCGTTATGTATCACTGAGAGCCAGTCATTTGAACTGCTTTTCTGCTGTTTCCCGAAAGCCTCTTCTGAAATGCTTCCAAGAGCTTGGTATTGAGTTCCTACCAGCAACTCCATATGGACCCTGCAACATGCCTCATTTGCAGCTCCTCACCATTGAGAAATCCCACCTTTACAGTGAAATCTGCTGTTTTCACAACTGTTCTTTCAGACAGCCCATGAGGGAAATGTTTGGCTCTTTCTGCAGCAGTAAGACCACTTTTTTTTTTTTTTTTCCAACTATTATTTTCAGCAGGCAAAGACAGAAGCATTCAATTTCTGCCCACGAGGGAAAAAATGTGAAGCTTGGTCCCAGCTGGGAGTTCCCGTATTGCCTGGTGGGAAGAGTCTCTTAATTCATTCACAGCTTCAACCGTGCAGCTTTCCAGTATCTCCAGTGCATTTTGCCTTCTGAGTTTGGGCTTCTTTTATTTAATTTTTTTTTTGTTTCATTTTGGTTTTTATTTTCCTAAGGGACACCTTTTCTCCCCTATGGAAGTCAAAGGTGTGTGCTCTCTTTGTGAGTGACCACAAAGGCATACTTTGGTCATAGCCAAGTCCACCCTTTCTCCCAAAAGTCAGTGCATCCCACCCCCAATCCAGCCCACACCCACTTTCTCACCAGTAGCCCCCCAGTGAAACACCCTTCCCTGCCCTGTACACACACTTGCCCCCTACTCCAACCCACCACTCTTCTGCCTTCTTCTGTTCTTGTTCAACAGGAATTTGTTCCCTTCCCTGGAGATGCTGCTCCAGCCATTCATTCCTGCTGCAGTCAGAGGTCCCAAACCAGGCCTCACCTCACCACTCATCAAACACAGCTCCCTTTCCTCTCTCACCATCAGAACAATAAACCAACAGCTGAAATGCAAGAAAGAAAGAAAAAAAAAATCCCACTTTGACCAACTTCCCTAGGAGCCACCCAGTTCTGCCTGCTGCCAGTACCTGTTGCAGGTTGCCTTTGCCTGCCCAAGATGAGGTGATTTCAGGAGTATGCAGCAGCTGGTGGAGCATCAAATGGGCTGGAAATAAAACTCCACCAAAATAAACAGCAGCTGAGGAGGCTGTCAGGCCACTGGCACTTGCCCCAGACTGGACAGCATCCCTTGTGGGAAGTGGAAAATGGAAGGACTCCATCTGCTCAGGGCTCCCTGTGACCTTTTCAAGCTCCATAAAACCCTTCACAGATTACCCTTTAGAAAGCAGGGAAGGCAAGCAGACCCCTGCATGCCCTCTGGGCAGGGGGAAGGAGAGGTCCTGGCCTTCCCCCAGGTTGCAGAGAGAGTCAGATGAAAGGTTAACAACAAGATGTAATCACAAGGTAAAAGCACAGGGCAGCAATGGCACAAATAATTTCCTGTTGAATTGTGGCTTTTGTTATTCCCAGAGAAGAGCAGCAGGTATTCAGGAGCTTCTCATTAGCCAGCATGATTTCCATTAGGCTTTCTATTAACATTTTGTAGCCATAATAAACACCTACATAATTAACACACAAAAAAAGGAGCCCATTCCACGTTAACAGGAGTCGCCCCAGGAAGCTGGGAATGGCACAGGTGGGTCAGTTCCTGTATGGAACATTCCACTTGCAAAGGAATTGCTCTTTACACCCACCTAGGACAATTCCCTTGCAAAGAGTTAAGTTTTAATGCTTCTGTCCTCCTGCTTCAGTCTAGGAGGATATCTACCGCTGGTTTGCAGCTGGAAAAAAAAAAAAAAAAAGTGGGAGAACAGGGTAGAAATTGTCCCTGGAGAGGTTCAGGACAGTCCAGTATTCCCTGGTTTCCTATTTGGTGTAGCTCTGAGGAGCCTTTTCCTGCTAAAAACTGTCAGGGAAAGAAATCCTTTAGGAGCACAGACAGCAGATAAGCCCCAGGAGCCCATTCAAAGTCTCCTAAGAAAGAAGATGGAACCTACTGCAGCCTGGGCTTGTTTATAACCATGAAGCACACCAGTGCCTCGTGTCCACTGAGAACTGATGAATAATGGGGAAAATAGACCCTAAGGGCATGAACATCATTTCTGAGTATGAGAGCTCTGGCTCCTCCCCAGCCACTGCCAAAGGTACCACTGCCAAGCCTGTGCCCAGGAGATTGAGGACATGTCATTCTGACAGGCCTGTCTGTCCCCCCTCCTCATTTCAGACCCCTACTGCCAAGAATTTGTGTGCCTTTTATCGTAGCTCTGAAATACAGGGAGACACTTTGGAATTCAATTAGTCAAACAGTTGCCACAGCAACAAAAACATATAAACTTAAATGATTTATACTCACAGACACCACTTCAAATAGGAATAAATTTAATATAGCAGCTGGGAATGAAATGCATTGTACAATAAGAAAATTGTATTTTTTTCTCTGGCTGATGATAGGCCTCAAGGTCTTAATGCAATATAGATGAAAAAAGATATTTGGGCAGAAGGAAGCAGAATAGGTTGTGCTGTATTTACAATGCCTGCTTGGAGAGTACAACACATAATGAGCATGTACATCTAATCACAGAGCTGTGATGCTGTTTGCAGACAGCCACAGATCAAAGATTGCAGCTACCAAGTCGACTGCTTGGTTTCACTTTCTTTCTTTTTCTCTCCTTCATCTCATGAAACCTTTCCTGTTGGTCTCTTCCCAGGCAAAAAAAAAATCTACCCTCATTCCAGCAGCTTCTCCATCCCCTACAGTGCCAGGTCCCCACCTGGTAAAGTAAGATTGTGAGTTTTTTCTAGAAGAAAAAAAAAATAATTCAAACATAGTTCTGGGACTGAGAACAGAAATTAATTGCAAGAAATATGCAGGAAACCTTTTCCTCTGCAAGAACATTGCAAAAGCTTGCAATAAAATCTAGAATAGTCATTCAAGTGATGGTCACCTGCAGTATTTTTCCCTGTAAAAGACTGAACGTGAAATGAATGCCACACTTCCTACAATTCTCCTTTGACTCTGAGATTCCCTGGAGAGAACTACAGGTACATGGGATGTGAGATCACAGAGAAGATAATGCATGTACAGACCTCTGGCATTAGCACAGTTTCAGTGCTAATATATCTTTTTCCAACCACCAAAGGTTTCACAGAATGAAAGTGATGTAGGAGCTTAGAGGAACCTTATGGTTAGCTTCCAGTAAACAGGAACCATCCAGAGGCTGTGCAGAAACAGCCTCATTCCTTTCTAAAGACACAGCAGCTGGTTTAACTCAGAACAGTGGAAAGTTCTGTGCCTGTAGCTCATCTGCCTCTTTGTTGAGGTGCCAAAGCCAGCTGGCTTGGCAGTGCCTGGGCCAGAAACAGCCAAGCAGTGCCCAGACTGCAAAAGAAGGTGGAGACCCAACCACAGGCTCTTCATTTTCCCCTAAGCAAAAGTTAGCCTGTCATGCAAGGAGGCATTTTGGAAGTTGTCACCTGCCTCCACAAAGCCTGATCAGTGTGGCAAACCACTCCCATCAGTGGGAGCTGAGGCTGCCAACACCCTTGGAGGGCTCAACACTGCGAGCAGTTGTATGAGATCTCTCATCTGACCTGCTCCACTAGACAGCATTTATGGTGGGAATAAGAGCTTTATTTCCTGTCCAGATCGTGCTCATAACACCTTCTCCTGCACTTCACAAGAACTCAAACAGGACGAGTCTCACGCACTTCGGGGCCCTTTGTGCAAAGGCAACTTCTCTGGCTCAGACCGTGTTTTGAGTAAACACTGCAGATCCAAGTGCAAGAGGGAAAAGCCAGAAAAGCACCTTTGAGACAAACCCAATACTTTTGTCTAAGTACAAACAAGCAAAACCACAGAGGCCACAGCTCTAACTGAACTTACTGGCTCCTCAGTGTAAAAAATTACAGGGGTGAGTTTTCATGGGTTGTTTTAGGCAGGAGGTCAAGAGTGCTGCTCATTATTAGAGTTGGCAGGTGGGGTGGAGAGTTCAGGATGCTTTGGGTGAAAATTGAGATCAGCACCTGCAATTCTCTTTGGCAGTTTGGGAAAGGAAAGCACACAGATGCACAACAACAACTAAACAAAGCTAATAATGAAATCATATTTATGTAGGCAGGAAGGAAGCTCAATTGCCAGGAGAGTACTAAAGTCTACAAGTGTAAATACATACCAAATAAGTCAGCTTGATGAGATGCCAAGTTTGTTCAGCAGAGTATGGCACTTCACTGCTGAAGTGTTCCTGCAGGAGGGAAACCAGAAAAATGTCAAAAAGGTCATTGGGTGAAATGTGTGGCTCCACCAGAAAACTGTGCAAACAAGCTCATGTCAGTAGATTCAGTTCTGTCTTGCAAAGCAACAGCCTGTTGGTGCTGTCACATTGAAACACAAGCATTTCACTCCCGAGCTGATCTAGAGCTCACTGCTCTCTCCACGTGGCAAAGCAGAAACCACCACAATATATGGGTCAGATGTACTGAGTTTCCTCCTTGAAGGTTCTGGATCTCAAGTACAAAATCAGAGAAAATAGTATTGACATCCTGAGGGATATGGTGGGGCAAGTGTGTGAGGATTTGTAGGACTTGTATGGCCAATATTTAACAATGAAGGATCCAAGACAATAAAGGAAACGAGCAGCTTTACAACATCTCTGAGCCTCACTCTCAGACCAGACTATGCACATATTCTGAGTCAAGATGGGGAAAAAACCTACAAAACAAGAACAAATAGTGCAAAGTATCTCTGGAGATGTTTAGAGTGGAAATCAGAGACATCACAATATTTAGATCCTGGATCAATCTTTCACAGACATTGCAAAAGGCAAAATCCTAAACAGCTGAAAGATGGAGCTGAGCCAAAAGTACTCAACCTGTGACAGCAAAACTCTTGATTTGGCTGGGAAGTCCCCTTCATCTCCCTTTCCCTGTAAAGGTAACATCTGTTCTTCTCTTTGCCTGCTCCATGGCTCTTTGGTTTGACGGCACAGAGAACAGCAGGCTGGTGTGTCCATTCCCGCTCCATTCCTTCTGGATTAGGGGATGCAGCAGTTCAGAAACCAGCTCCCCAAGCCTCAAACTACATTTATCATCATCTTTACACGCCTTTACACAGCTGGCTCTCCTGATGATAATGTGTTCTACAGTTTCCCTTGCTGGCGTGGCTTATGTTAATACTCCATTAACATTGCTAATCAGAGACAGACTTCTGGCAGCATCTCCAGGGGATGAGCAAATGTTGTCCTATGCCTTTCAGTTTAGGAGATCAGACTTTCAGATGAAATCCATTCCCAACATCTCTGATTTCAGCAATTAAATAGAGCTGCAGCATGTGGGAGCTGTTCAATGCTGGATGCATGTGGTTCCTACTGCTCCAAAATAAGACCTTTTAAACGGCTTTTTACGCTGGTCCTCAGATATGTGACATTTGGAACTTTTATTCACTTGGGAAATCAAAGACTGCTGGAAAGATGAGATGGATTCAAATCAAAGATAAAAGGTACAGAGGTCCTGAAGGTCTAACAGTGCATGCTCCCAGTTCAGCTTACCCCATCCAGAAAAGAAATCTATAGTTTAGTTTGATCTATTCCTTCTCACATTTCAGGAACACTTCCAAATCCACTTTAGCTTTACAAAAGGAGTCTACTTTTATTTGGATTAAGTAGAGTCAGGCACCATGATACATTTGGTCTCAAGAAAATGTCTGGAATTTCTACTTGTGCTGGTAAAAGGAGAGCAACTGCTCATTAATGCAATTTTCAAGACACCTCAGATTTTAGGTGGACTTCCATTCTCTACAGGATTCAGGAAGACTATAAAATTAGCATTTGTCAAACAAAGCCTACCCTGTGGAAATAAACTTATTTCCAATCCAAATATCATAAATGAGGCAGAATGAAACACCACAGTTGAAAGGAGATGTAAAGCCTTTATCCTCCTCAACTCCTTCAGCCACAAGATGAATGAGCTGAGCAGGAGGATGATGCCATTGAGCCAGTGAAACAGTGAGTCTGCTCAGCAAATTTATGCTCTCATTCCAACAGATGCACCAATCCAGTCAAAATCAGGACAGGCTTCTTCTCTACTTTTCCCTTTCCTCTCCTCTTGTAATCTCCCTAATAACACCTCATGTCCTGTAGCCTGAAATGGGAGGCACTTCCATGGCAGGAAGTGATGCCTGCTGGTGCTTCTCAGTGATACAAAGATGAGGAAGAACAGCTCAGTTTTAACAAGCAGCTGCAGACCAGTTACATCTGACAATAAAGCCAGCGCCCGCCTTTCCCCCCAAAAAAACCAATTCAATTTACAGAAATAAAAGGAGAACTCACAAACAATGCACATCAGTACCTAAATGATTAAGTGGTATATGACTCACAGCCATTTGGAAAGGCTTCTCCAAAACCCTAGGGAGCTCACCAGAACCTGTTTAGATACACAGCTCAGACATGCAGTAGATGCAGAGTTTATTTCAAACACCTCAGGAGTGTGGCTTCTATGCCCACTCACTTTAAAGGTCTGAATTCCAAATTCAGTTAACAATGCACCACATCCACTGAAGATGGGGAAAACTGTGGGCATTCATGCAAGGTCCATGGCACATGGATATGACCTTCAGTCACTGGCTGGAAGTGATTTCTAATGCATCAGCTCATTGCTATAATGATGTGCTTTGGAGCCATTAATTAACTCGCTGCTCTCTGAGGAAATTCTCGTTTCCTCCATCATTCATATCTGCTTGGAAGAGATGCAGACCTGCAAAAGCTACGTGTGAAAGCCTGAGATGTGTGGGATGGAGCTGAGCAGACCGTGGGCAGGTGCTATGAAAACTTCCTCATACAGTGAGTGCCTCAGTGCAGCTCCATCACATCCCACAGCACCAGAATGATGCTGCCACAGCAGCTCTGCCAATCCCCAGAATCTCTGCTACTGGGACATCCCAAATCTCACTTCTGGGATCTTTGGCTCTCCAGCCTCCTATTCTACCTTAGTGGAAAATGCCAATTATTGGAAGATGAATAAAAATGTAGTGAAAATATTTGCTTGTTTCTCCTTGGCATAAATTGTCATCTCTCTCCTATTTATTCATTATTCAAATATTTTCACAAGGCTGATTATGGATTTTTACCTGCTTGGACTAGAGCTTGTTTTCAGGTAGTTGAATACCTGTTCTCCATATTCAGTGCCAGATCATGAATGAGGAGCCAGTCCACAGCTACTGCAACCCTCCCCTGGCAGGATGAGGCTCAGCTGCCTTGACTGAGGGCTGAGACCCAAAAGGTAAAGATGATATGTGCCTCCCGTGCTGTTCTACAGTATTAACTATTCTGCAGTTCACTTCTGTTTTGTTTCAGCAGCTTCCCTCACTGAATCATCAGAGAGCAAAATTGCTTCCAAATAATAACCAGCTACATGGAGTGTTGTTTGGCAAGGGAAAGAGCAGAGTTTGACTCTACATTTACATAAATCTCAACTCACACATTTCAGTTTCCAAGTAAAGTGTTCAGACACCTCTTTCTTCAGAGCCAGCACCTTGGGAACCTACCTTCCCAGCCTGATCTCTGCTTTCTCTCTTTACAGAAGAAACACCCCCACTTATGTAACACAGATATCCCTTTTGAAAAGACTTTCAGCTCAGGAAGGCAATTTTTCCAGGTTAGGACAGTAATGAATGGATTTTAGGACAACTCAGGTCCCAGACACCCCATCTAATATTGTGGGGCTGCTGCAGGTTAGAACTTCTGAAATCCATAATAGACTGGTCCTGTCAAAGCATATAACATCTCTGGCTCTGACTAACATCACTGCATGCTCTGGAGCAGCTCTAGCCAATGGAGAGAATGTACATTTGTAAGATTTCCACTGCACTTGTCTCTCTCTTTCACGCACACAAACGAATCTTAAAGTACAGATTAATATTTAAACAACCAGGGCTACAAATATCTTTCAACCTTCCTGGGCAAGAAAGTTCTTGTGTGGAAAAACAGAGTGGGGAAAATGCACAGAGGGGGGAAAAAAACTCTTCTCAAGTGGGAATTTACTTTTCATTTCTGCTCCCTTTGATATAACCAGGATTAACTGCTTTTCATCCCTTTCTAAAGGACACGTTGGGTCTCCAGCTGTTTTTCCACTATCAATCCCTGGAGAACAAAGCTTAAGAAGTTAAATGAGTTTGGGAATCTCATCTTTGTTTTTAATTAATTTGAAATGAATGCATGCTAATGACAGCACCACAGCAAGATTGCCAAAACTTTCCCCATCCATATAAGAAAGTGGTGAACACCAAAGAGCGTGGGACCTCACCAACAGCTTTAACCCTTGCTTGCTGCAATTATAGCCAAAACCTTTGGGCAGAAGAGGTTCTGAAGGGTTCAGTGGTTTTCATCTCTGTGTACACCATGGAGACATCCTGTACTCCAAGCAGAGGAGCCCTGCTGGCTGTCAGAGTCTCTGCAAAAACAATGACAGTCAGAAATGCATTTTGCTGGCTTCAGACTGTGAGGAGCAGAACTGCTGTTTCCCTGTTCAGTCACACTTGCAGCTCCTCCTTTTAGCTTTATATGAATTATAAAACTACAAATGCACTTCAAGTCCTTCATGTGGGAAAAAAAAAGAAAAAAAGGCAGAAAACAGCCTGGAGGACTTATTTCTGTACCATTCCTCTCACTCATGGGTGGCATTACCAGTGGCATGTTAGAAGGAAGGTCATTTGTACATTTTTAAAGGCAGAGAGTGGGGTCAGGTTGAAACAATGAGTGTTAGGTTGCTCCTAGTGCTGACAAGGTGAGCTATGGCAGGAATGAGTGCTGGACCAGGGATGCTGGAAATCTGTGTGGAACTGGAGGCTGTTAAATCTGAGAACAGCTAACTCTAATTCTGGCACAGAGCTCACAGAGGTTGGGGAAACCATTCTGCAGAGACCACAAACCCAGCTGTCAGGAGTAATAAAAGCTCAGCTCAAACTGTGATACAGACATGGTTGAGGGGAAGGACAAGCTGGATGGATTTGCTGATCTTACAAGAAGATTTGTTTATGGTTATTCCTGATAAATAGAAAATAAAACAGGGAGCCAAGCAGGTCTGCACTAGAAATTAAGCCAAATGAGAAGAGAGTATAATGTGAAAGAAAGAATTTGTACCCATCAATATAAATGTCTTCAGGAGGGACCTTAAGGACACTGTAGAGGGCAAGAAATGAGTTTAAACAGAGCAGCTCCCACTGTCCCAGTTCACTGGGAACCATTCATCC